GCCGCAAGCGGCCGCCGGGAGCCCAGGTCGCGAGGGGTGGGGCGCCGTGTGTTTCCGCTGACATCCAGGCTTTTTCTTGAATGGGGTTTGGGGAGGCGCGGAGAGGAGAAAAGCTGAGCTGTTACTCGAAAGCAGAGGAGTCACAGGAGGATGCACCCCGGTTGAGGCGCCTGTGGAGCGGGTTCATTCGAGGATCGGTGCCTCCTCCTGACAGCCCTGAGTTTTAACGGACTGGAGCCGCGACCTGAAGCTGCAGGACTGGGAAGGGCGCCTGGAGCTGACCAGGGGCGCTGAATGCTGCTTTCCTTCCCATTCGGATTGAGGAGCCACTAGGAGTAGTTCTGATCATATTGCCATATACAAGGAAACTGGAGTCCCTTTAAAAGCGTCTGGGGTTGCCTAAAAGAGTATGTCAAAAGGCATACGCTTAATCCTCGTTTTCTTTTTACATCCTACTCCTTTGATATTGTCTAAGGAAAAATCAGCACTCCTCACTGATTGGCATTTATCTGCCACAAAACGGATTGTTCCCCTGAGCTTTTGATATTCATCTGTTAATCACTGGCAACATCTTTCTTCCTATGATGTTTTCTCCTCGCCTCTGTCTTTGCCTTTTTATTTTTATTTATTTATTTTTTTGGAGCGTAGCAGCAGCAACCTCCCACCTGTGTTTGCCTTAATTAATGAGAAGCCATGAAACACCTTGAGACTATCAGCCAAAAGATGTCCTTGAAAAACTCACTTAGGATTTTTTTTTTTGTCGTTTTCATTTAAAGTATTCAAAAATCAGTGCTTTCTGGTTACTATATTTGTTCCCTATTTAAGAAATTCTTTTTTTCTCTTTTCTCTGCCTGGGGGTTTAATACTATTTTAGTATCTAATCATGTAGACTTTTGGTTCTCATTTCTTCCTGCATTTTTCCTTGGATTCCCTAGGGTCGTTTTCCTTTTTAATTTCCAACCAGTTCTTTCCAAGAATATTATATCAATATCTTCTATTTAATGTATCTAGGGATCAAGCCTTTATAAAAATGATAATTACTACTTCAAATAGAGCCACAGTTAATTCATCATCATTTCAGAGCTGATTCAACTATCAAAAGAAAAAGCAAAGCCAGTTGGAAGGAGCCAAGCCTTTTGTTTCGACTCAGTTAACTCAAGAAAGAAATACCACAATAATTCAGCGTGAGAGAGCAAATGCTTAAGATGCTATGTGCTCGAAATTTTCTGATGTAAAAGAACTTCCATGTAACCACTGATAAAAAAAAATTCTTGATGTCCCCAGAATTTTAAATATTTGATGAAAAAAAGACCCTTGATTTTAAAGAGACATTTTTCGCTCATGAAAAATTACACACAGCTCATGAAGACAAATGGAGACTCAAGAAGGCTTCATGGGACAGATTTTATAGCTGTGTGAAGATTGCTGCTGATCTGCTCTGCAACCAGATAAATCAGAAACTAAAGGCTCCATTTACTGTCTCAGCCAGTGATCTTCAACCTTTGGAGGCGGGGGGGGCGGCTAATTTCTCTTTGAGGCTGTAATGGAAATCTTCATCCTAGAAAAATGCTTTTATATATATATATATATATATATATATATATATCTATATACACACTCAAACGAAAAATATTTTTTTTGCTCTGTTTCAGAGGGATTGTTCAGGGGCCCTAGGTTAGCCCCTATCTTCCATAATCTCAGGAAGTTTTTGCCTTTATAATTTTTTTAAAAATCTCTTTCTGGGCCGGGGATATAGCTCAGTGGCACGAGTGCCTGTGTGGCAAGTGTAAGGTCCTGAGTTCGATTCCTAGTACCAAAAATAAATAAATAAATAAAAATAATCTCTTCCACAGAGAATCATGGAATTTTGAACAGGAAGAGACCAAACTCCTTACCTTGGGGGGGGGAAAAAAAAGCCTGTGTTTAAAAGATTCCCTCAAATGGGGACACCTATTTAGCGGCAGAACTAGTAGAAAAATCTCACTGTCTTATCCCCACCAGTTTAGTTCTTGTGTGGTTTGAATTTGAAAGGAAAGTGTTTACTACTAAAAGCAGACTGATAAAGGAAGTACTGTATTTTGTCCTCAGACATTTTGCATGTTTGGGTCTTCTTAGAGTTTGGAAAGTTGCATCTTGTCCCAGAGAGACCTTCTTCACATACTCTTCTACCTCGAACTATGCCTAGCCAACCTAAGAGAGGAAAAGTGCTTTTCTCCTTGTTCAGCTCTATGTAAGAGGTGCCAGAGTGTCAGAGTTTGTGCACTACAGCTTGCTGGCTAGAAGTTCACTGTGTCCCTTGGGGAACTGTCCTGGAGGTGACTAAGAGGGAAATTCACTGTCCTGTGCTCAAGGGCACCTCCAGGGTTTGGTTATTTATACCCTTGCTTCTTGCCTTTGTTTTTCTATTTTTTTTTACAGTACTGGGGGTTGAACCCAGGTTTTCATGAGCTAGGCACTCACGCCCAGCACTGTGCAACATGCCAGCCCCCTTTTTAAATTCTGTTTTTGAGAAAGTATTTAAGTTACCTAGTTTAGCCTTGAACTCACATCCTGCCTCAGCATGCCGAGTAGCAGGGAGTATGGGGGTGTATCACTGTGCCCAGCTCCCAGTTTTCCACTTATTGATTGTGGCCAAACAATGCTGAATCCTAGTGATCAACTCAGCCAGGTTAGAGTCAAACCGGACTCCCTGCCTCCTCTTGTCTGTACATTTCCATGGAACCTGCACACCCAAAACACACAGAACTGTTTTTAGGGTGCTCTTTGGAACAGTGCAATGTGAAAGTTGCCATATTCCTTTGTAAGCACCCAGCTTCCCATACTCAATGCCTTGTGATGATTTTCAAATGGTTTGGTGCTTTAACAAAATACTTTGTATAATTGATCAAACTGCTCTGCCTTGAAAATAGTATTGGATTTTGTACTATTGCACTATTCAAAGAGGAATACTATGCTTCTGTACATGGCTGACAAAACAATAGCCTTTGGCCACAGATTCGATGTAAGGAAGGGCGTTAACCTCTTAGAGGTGATTATTATGGGTGGTGACTTTGGTTGTTTAAAGAGGGCAAAGAATGAATTGACTTTTGAAGACATTTATGTTTTCATTCAAAGATTTAATTTTGTAGTAACAGGAAAATAATTAGAATGGCCACCCTTGTTTCTCTGTTACTAACTGGTTGTTAAATTTTTAAACAATTTTTTTACTCTTTCTGGTTCTTATCTTTCCCATTCATAAAATTAAAGGTTAGGATAAGGTTATCTCTAATATCCTTTTTAGGCTTAGCTACCATTTTCTGATATTTTAAAATCTTTAAATGGATTCTGGATAAAGCAGAAGACATTTTTATTTGAATCTTCAATATATTTAAAGTGCTGGGATATCAAAGTTCATAAATACCCAGTGTAATAAAGGATCATATTTTATTAATCCATGGATACTGCTATTTCATCTGCAGTATGTTACACTAAGAGTGTTACAGATTGTACAGAGAGCAACCTTTTTCAGGTTTAACAGGACTAAAATTAAATGTATACAGTGAGCAACCCATTTTAAATTTACTAGAAGTTTCTCATTTTTATTTAAATTGTGTTGACTAAACAGAACTTAGACATTCCTTTAAAATTGTTTTTCTACATTTTAAACTAATGACTTATCACGAGTGTTTTAGATTTTCTTTTTGTTACTCATTTAGTTCCATTCCCACTGGTAAACATTGATTTGTTCCTCGGTTGTGAATGAAGCAGAAATTAATGAGGCAGTTTCTGCCTCACAATAACAAGTTAAAATTATAGCACTTTATCATGTCAACACAGCTTTAAACACTAGGAATACCAGTGCTATTAGCACAGTTCCCGAAATAGTGCACAAGTTTGCCGTTGAAGAAAACATTACACAGTGTATTTCCGCCAATGGCAGAGAAACATTTTCTATTCTTCAGTTACACTAATTAAAGAGGTAAAAATTATTTTTTTAAATATTAACAATAAATTGCATCCTATTCTATGTTTATGTTATCAGTTGAAGTATTTGTTCCTGTTGTGTGAATTTGTTTAAAGTAAATTTGATCTGTTTGTAATAATATTATCCTTAAACAATGTGAATGAGTGGGTTTTTTTCTCCCCTCTTTTATTTCAGGCTTTCGAATTAACACCTTACTTGCTACTTTATGGCATTCCATGATTTATAAACAGCATTTGCAGGACAAAGCCATAGGTATTACAGGTAACTAAAGCAACATTTGCCTTGAACACAAGAATACAGACATATAGCTGTGGGGCCGCCTGTATTTATGTCATAAACTATAAAACTGG